TGGATAAAAAGCCACACCACGCCTATGGAACATTCCTTATGGGGAATTTTTACCCCCCAGAAGAAAAAAAAGGACTTCAGAAATTAGAACCTGTGCACTCTAAGTTTGAACCCACTTTTCCCTTGAACTCTGCAAGTACTTGTGGGAGAGTGCATCACAGACTTTTGGGGGATGTTTTATAATAACTGCTCTTATGGTATCTTAGTAAATACCTCATTTCTAAAAGCTCCTTGAGGCTGGCTAACTAAAATGATCCTCAACTGGTAATCTTGGGGAGATATCACACCTGTAAGGGTTTGAACCAATGATATTAGAGAAAGTCAACCCCAATCCCTCAGGTGTACCCTCTAGAACTCTGAAGGGAGACATGTAGCCAGCCTAGCTGCATTTTCCATCAACCACAATTAGTAGATGCTTCATGTCCATATGCCAAGGAATTAGCCAGAACTGGTGCAAATTCACACGAGGAAACACAAGATAGAGAAGCACAGAGAAGAGGAAAGGACAGAGAGAAAGGACAAAAGAAGAAGCAAGGGGAAGGAAATGGCCACAGGAACTGGCATCACCAACTCATCTCACCATGATTTATAGACACGAACTTTATACTATAAGGTGATGAAATCCTGATGAATTGTTGTTATCACAATTTTATGAGGTCATGGGATAAATACTATGAGGTTTAAAGGGAGAAATGCAGCGCAAGGGAGCTAATGAACATTATTGTGAGTAGTTTTGTACTCCAAATTGGGGATATTTCTGAGGTAGTAGTTTGGGGCCCTATTATATAAAAACAAAAAAACATTATTCAGTTTTCAGGCAATTAAACAAATGGGGAGCAAACTAGCTCTCTTTGAATGCGAATGAAACAAACTCACCCATAAAACATAAACAGATAGCAGAATCCAACGACATGTTGCTTATGAGAAACACATTTAAAAATGAGAGATACACAGTTAAAATAAAGGCCTGAAGTAGAATTTATTATGCTTTAGCTGATGCAAAAAAAGCACAGGGATAGCAATCATGATCTCAGACAGAGTTAAACTAAAATAGATTTAATTAAAAGAGATAAACAGGGAAGCTACATTACGATAAAAGGTACCATAGACAGAATAAGAATCTGAGCAAAGGAGATTTCTCTATGTTCTTGTTGAAGACTTGACCTTTGCTAAATCAGCAGAATAGCCAAAACAAAGTAGAAGTTAGTGTCTTAAAAAAAAACAAACAACTTCCCTTTAAACAATTAATAGAAGTGGAACTCAGACAGTAAGACTTAACAGAATTACATAACATTGTATATAACATTGCTATGACATTTTACAATTTATAAAGTAATAGCTATCTGTGTATAGCTATCTGTATATACCTATAGGCAAACATTTGATCTTGGTAACAGCTTTAAGAGGTAGGTAGTACAATGATTATTATTCCACTTATGCTGATAAAAAAAAAAACCTAGGCATGAAAAGGCATAATGATTTTCCCATTGCCCGATGGCTAAAACTGGCTTTTCAAACCCAAGTATTCTGACTCTAAATGTAGTGCCCTTGAGCTATGTCATGCTGCCTTAATCTAGGAACTAAATAAATTTCAGTCTCTCAAGATGATCCCTTCGAAATCTAGTCTTGATATATAAATTGTTCAATCAGTTGGGGGAAAAATTACATTGAATCAAATAATGATGTTTTAAAAATTAATACATAAGATGGGTTGTATTTGTTTTATTTTGTTATCATTGTTCCCAAAACAGGCAACCCCTGATGATGACAGAGAAGAGATATGGCAAGATCAAAACTGTATCGATAGACAGCACAGCATGGTAGATGGCAGCATTGGATTGAATATCGGGAGATTTAGGCTTTCATCTCAGGTCTCCCTTCCTGAGGACCTAGGGCAATTCACTTACCATTTTAATATCTCATTTTTCTATATGTAAAATAGGGATATTTCTGTTGTTACAAAGGTCAATTGAATTCATGTATGCTAAATATTACTGAAAGGTCAATTCATTGATTTGGTTCATTTATTTAGCTCCCTCTATGTTCAAAGACTATGTTAGGTATTGGGGAGAATCAATGGAAGCTGTTAACTGATTAGAGGAAAAGAAAGGAAAAAAGAGAAGGGAGAGGAGAAGAAGGAGGTGGAGGTAGAAGGAGGAGTATTCAATGACAATGACAATATGGAGATTTCAAGCTTGTGTGATTGGATGATACCAATCACTGACAGAAATGGAGAAGAGATAGAAGATAAGTGGTGTTTTGGACATACTGAGTTTGAGGTGCTGCTGGAACATCCAAGTGTTGTTGTTCAGTTGTTTCAGTCATATCTGACTCTGTGATGCCTTTTGGAGTTTTCTTGGCAAAGATACTAAAGTGGTTTGCCATTTCCTTCTTCAACTCATTTTACAGATGAAGAGGCAGGTAGGGTTAAGTGACTTGCCCAGGGTCACACAGCTAGTAAGTGTCTGAGACTGGATTTGTCAGATCAGGAGATGTACATTTGGAAGCCATATATACAGAGGTGGAAGCTGACGATATTGGATTTTTGCTAAGGGAGAAGGGAAGGAAGTGGAAGGGAAAGGAATAGAAGAGAAAGGAAAGCAAGAAAAGGGAAGGAAATTTTTATATAGCAACAATAAGGAGAAGCTCAGGGCTGAACTAGTCAGATTGAAAATCATGATAAATGGAGAGAAAAAAGGACAGAACCTTGGAGAACACCCAATTTAGTAAAAGGCAAAGAACTTTAAAGTACTATATGTTTTTAGATATTTAAAGGACAGTTACATGAAGACTGAAGACTTACTTTGCTTGATCCTAGAGGGTAGAACAAAGAAGTGTTTCACAGGCAGTTTTCCACCAAGCATAAGGGAAAACTTCCTGACAATTAAAATCATACAAGAGTTGAATGGACTGGCTCAGGAGATGGTGGGTTCCTTCTAATTGAGGTCTTCAAGAAAATGATCAATTACCACTTGTTGGAATTCTTGTTCGGGCATGAGTTAGAACAGATGCCCTCTAGGATCAGTCAGTCAAAAAGCATTTATTAAGTGACTAGTATATGCCAGACTCTGTGCTAAGTGCTGGGAATACAAAGAAAAGCACAAGACAGTCTCTGCTCTGAAGGAGCTCACAGTCCTATGGGGACCAGATACAGACAGGATAATTGGAGATAATCAACAGAGAAACAGTAGAATTAAGGGGAATGGGTAAAGCCTTCTTGCAGAAGGCGGGACTGTTGAGACTTGAAGGAAGTCAAGGAACCCAGGAAGCAGAAGTGAGGAGAGAGAGAATTCTAAGCTGATGAAAATGCCCAGAATCAAGAAATGGAATGTTTAGTAGGCGTGGTAAGGAGGCCAGTGTCACTGGATCATAGAGTCCATGTGGGGGAAGGGGGCATCACAGTGGGGAAGGAAGGCTTAAAATGTAAGACTAGAAAGGTAGGAAGTGCCCAAGTTATTGAGAGCTTTGAAAGGCAAACAGAATTCCATATTTGATCCTGGAAGCAATAGAGTGTCATTGGCATTGATTGAACAGGAGGTAAAATGTTCAGGCTTGAGCTTTAGGAAGACCAATTTTTCTAGCTCAATGGAGAATGGGCTAGAAGGGAGAGAGACCTGAGTAAGGGAGAACAACCAGCAGATTATTGCAATAGTCCAGAAATGAGGTCATGAGGATCTGTACGGAAGTGGTGGCAGTGTGAGAGGAGAGAAGGAGGACTACAAAAGAAATGTTTTGAAGGTAGAAATGACAGGACTTGTAAGTAATTGTTTATGGGTGGGGGTGGGGTGGTGAAAGAGAGGAATTTGTCAAAGATCACAGCTAGGTTACAAGCCTGGGTGACTGGGAGGATCTTCCACAGTGGGGAGAGTTTGTGGAAGGGTGGAGATAATGAGTTCAATTTTAGACATGTTGAGTTTAAGATGACGATGACACATCTAGTTTGAGATGTCCAATAGGCATTTGGAAATGTCAGACTAGAAATCAGATCCCTTCTAATTCTGAGATTCTATGATTCTACAATATTTAAAATGTTAATATTACATAATTTAAAATAATTTATCTTTAATATTGCTATATATCCTTATATCTTAGAGATAGAATATTTACTTTCCAAATTAAGTTTTCCCAAGATGAAAATTGTTATGGTCAAATTTGTTATGGTATTCCCTGTATACACAGTAATTAAATACAAAAACTCTTTGAAATACTAAAGCACTACAGAAATGTAGTGTTTTGTAGTTTATAACCGGTAACATTAGGGCAGCTAGGTGGTGCAGTAGATAGAGCACCGGCCCTGAAGTCAGGAGGACCTGAGTTCAAATCTGGTCTTAGACCAAACACTTGACGCTTATTAACTGTGTGATCCTGGGCAGGTCACTTAACCCCAATTGCATTTACATTCACAAAAATATATATATATATATATATATATATATATATATATATATACATATATATACATATATATATATACACAATTGGTAACATTATTTTTATTATTATTTACTGAAGGCAAATGTATTTTTTCTTGAAGCTGAAAGCAGGTCTATATTTATACTTTTCCATAAACTGTAGCAAATAAATAAATAAAAGTTTAAGGAACTTGATTACATAGAAGTAAGTATCTGAAGTGGGATTTGAATAGTGGTTTCCTAACCCCCAGTTCAGTTCATCATCCCTATGCCAAATTGCTTTTATAACTACAAAAAAATGTAAAAAGTCTGAGAAAATATTTTAACATATTTATGCTATATTAAATGTATTAGCATATAGTACTAAAATATATGTTTCAACAGTAGAAACAAGGAATTTTGCTGTATGTCTTTTCTATTGGAACTTGGCTTAAGAATTAAAATAGGAATGACATAGTAATACATACTTGTAAGCTCCCATGAACTTTGAATATCAAATTAACATCAAGAAGTTTCACTGATATCTATGCAAAGGTCCTAGAAAGTGCCCTGAGTAACAGGAAGTCTCTGCAGAGTTGTTGCTGTCTGGCCACACTATTTCTTTTTAAGGAAATGAAGAAACGTAGGTAAAAGTGCTCTGCTGTCAGAGTGGGTTTGACCGTCATTTATCTGTAGTGTCTAAAGTGCAGGAGAAAACAGTCTAGAAGGAAGATACAACAAAGGTAAGTGATATTCCTAGGCTAGAGGTAAAAAAGGAATGAAATATGCTCCTTGCTCTTCACTTTGAATCTTTTTGCTTTTTTTTCATTCATATCTTCTATTTTGTAATATTTTTGAAGTATCTTGCCGAACTTTTCTCTCCCTATGTCACAATTTTCAGTATGCTAGGTATGTCCTGAACTTTTCCATATTGTTGCATAAACAGAATTCCTCGTTCATTTCAGGGAGAGAAGTATTTATCAGAACTAAATTTTGACTTTCATTTTAAAATTTTTGTACTGTTGTTTCAGTCATGTCTGACTTTTTGTAACCTGATTTGGGGTTTTCTTGGCAAAGATCCTGGAGTGGTTTTCCATTTCCTTCTCCAGCTCATTTTGCAGACAAGGAAACTGAGGGAAATAGGGGTAAATGACTTGCCCAGGGTCACGTTGCTAATGTCTGAGGCTGAATTTGAACCCAGGTCTTCCTGACTCCAGGCCTGGTGCTCTATCTGATATTCAAAATGACAGTAATCCAGAGAAAGACCTGATGGAGTCTGAATATGGATCGAAGCATACTATTTTCACTTTCTTTTGTATTTTTTCCATAGTTTTTTTTTCTTTTGTTCTGTTTCTTCTTTCACAACCTGACTAATATGGAAACACGTTTTGCATGATTGCACATGATTAACCTGTATCAGATTGCTTGCTGTCTTGTGGAAGAGGTAGGGGAGGGAAAGAAAAAAATTTGGAATTGAAAAACTTTGAAAAAATGAATGTTGAAAAATGTCTTTACATGTAATTGGAAAAATAAAATACTATTAAACTTTTAAACAATTGACAGTAGTAGGTTTTTTTTGTTTTTGTTTTTGAAACTTAGTAGTGAAGAAGAAATCCTATTGGCCATTGGGAGCATCTTACAGAAATTTATCTGGTATTTCCCTTTGATGTTTTGGTGTGCATAACTGAAAACTAGTCCAATCCATTGGCTTCTATTTTATTTCTCTTTTAAGCACTTCACTTTGCAACAGTTTGTATATTTATGAGGTATATTTTAAGAACATGCTTAAATATTTTGCCAAGAATTTTATATTTTACGGTTCTCAGGTTTCGAGGAAAATGACTGTAATGCAGCTAGATTTGCTTCTAGGTCACAATTTAGTGTCAGACGCAATTTAATGTCAGAAATAATAATAATGATAATGATAATAGCTAACACTTACATATGCTTTTTATATGCTAGGCACCATGCTAAGAGCTTTACAATTTTTATTTCATTTGATCCTTCCAACAACCCTGGAAAATAGGTACTACTATTATCCCCATTTTACAGTTGAGAAAACTAAAGCCAACAGAAGTTAAGTAACTGCCCAAGGTCACACAGCTAGTAAATGTCTGAGGTTGGGAACTCAGGACTTCCTGTATTCCAGGCTTAGCACCCTATCTACTGTATCAGCTAGCTGCCCCTAAATGGAATCAAATTCCATTGGAATTCCAGAAATGGAATTAAAATTCATAGCTCCCAAATGATGAATATTTTATTGGAGTGATGGTGCTTTCCTTGCAGTGCATTTAATATTCTTCAAGCCTTTTAATGATCTTTTAATCAACAGCTAATGAAAACATATAAGTTGTTGTTTGCAAATGTAGCACCTCCCCCCACTCCAACTCTCCCCAGAATTGCTCTTTCAGATTCAATGTACTCTCTGAGTGCACAGTCCACTCAAACCAGTAATTCACAAGCCCTCATTAATGTGTTTGCTTTTTTCCTAGTCATCTAGAGGACACAACTGGTTCAAAGCAAAGACATTTAATTAATAGTAAAAATAAATACATAAAGTCACAACAGAACATCACTTCCTATCCATAAATCTGAGGTATAAATAAACACACTATCAGTGCATGAGTAGAGAAAAGTATGGCTAAAGCACATATTTGGAGGAAAGTATGGCACAATGCCAAGGCCAAGGCATTCACGTAGGGCTAACACAATTGTCCAACCACAAATGTGTTCTGATGATTTCATCATGCTGCTCTCATTGAGCCTGCTTCCCCTGTGCATGGCATCTCTGCTAGGTATGACATTCCACTGGTCCCATGATAGCTTCTTATGATTAACAAGCACCTAGCTTTAGCTGGGTGTTGTTCCATTGATCTCCAGTGGGTTTGTATTGACCACTGGCTACATAGTCTTCTGGACATTGGGCCCTCCTGGGCTTCAACTCTTTAGGATTATCTGTCCACTGTCTCACCAGTCTCCTAAGGTATAGTGGCTAGAATCTCTTCCTAATAAGGGCAGACTTACAACTCATTAGTCATGGCACCACACACAGCTACCACACAAAGTAGAATTAGAATTAGAAGCTTGCTTCTAAGATACTATGAAGGCATTTCTTTTCAGAACCCAATGTCTGGGCAGAGATCATAGCCCTCTATTGCAGACAACTGTCTTAGACATTCCCAAGATCCTCCTTGGTTTAGCAGGTAAATGAGTTTGAGTCAGAACAAAATCTAGGCTACAGAGACAAATATTGGTCTCCCCTCCCTACCTCTTCCCCCAAACCAGCTTCACTGCCTTTATAATACATCTTTGCCAGCAGCAAAATCCTAGAAAAAATAATCTGACTCCCTATACAAAAGTAAGGGTCTACACCTGGCAAAAAACCCATACATTTTCTATTGATCAGTAAGCATTTATCTCTAAACTGGTCATTTGACCAGAACTGACCCAGTATCTCAAGCATGGAGAACAGCCTAAAGTCAGCTAAAAGTATACAGAAAAGCAGTAAGTGAAAGTAAGATTCTTTACCACTTGCTTTGATCAGATCTCATTTATTGAATGTCGGTGTATGGTCATTGCTAAAAGTGAAATGGATCTTGGAGATCCCTTCATTTTATGATGAGAGAAATGATTATTTCTCTTAGATTGATAACCAATTATTGAATCAGAACTAAGGTTTTTCCCCTTTTCTACTTTCTCATTCAGAAATCAGCCCCCTGTAGGTTATTCAGGCAGCCTTTGAATAATGATGTGATAATGAGAAGGAAAACTCAGATCTGTTCAAAAAACAGGTAAAGAAATTTTAGTTTAGGTGAATTGATGGATTCTGGCCCATTGTGTTTTACTTAGACAGGTCTAGGGAAAAGTGGATTCTCCCTTTTAACTAGATTACCCTAGGCAGGTTGATATGGGTAGAGATAAGTCTCTTTGACCAAGACTGAGTGATCAGCGTCACATCCCCCAGGACTTCATTGAAATAAGCCCGCCTCCCTTTATAATAATCGTTCTTCTCATTCAGAGTTGATTACCACCCTCAGAGAACCCACTCTTCCAAGGGCGTGTGAGTGTTGAGTGTGTTCCGTGAGTGATTTTTGGCATTTGAGAGAGCCACTGATCCTTTTCATTAATTATATATTAGCATGATTAATAAAATGATTAATTATTCAGAAACTATGTCTCTCAAACTTTTTATATGTCACAATAAACATGAATATTTCAACCCAAAGAGGTCCTAGAATCATAGAAATAGAGAGGATAGCACCTCAGAGATTATACGATTAATTCAACCCTCCTTTTACATAGGGGAAACTAGGAGCCTAAGGAGATTATATGATTCTCCCAAAGTCACACAGAGTATCTGACATGTGATTTGAACCCAGAACAGTGCTCTTTCCACTGATTAGTAGGCATTGAACTCACAACTCTGGCTCCTAGCTCAGTTCATCTTATTCTGTACTACCTGTTTTAGGCCCTGGGCAGAACATAGAACTAAATATTATGCCTAACTAACAGGGCACAGAGCACATTTGAAATGCTATAGTGTATGTAGATAGGACTCAAGCATTTGGCTGTATCCGTCTTTATGTCACTGGTAAGGTAAGCATAGCAAGGAAGAACAATTGTCAACTTTACAAATTGTTTTTATTTTTACCCTTCAAAATAACAAGCCATCAGTTGATTATGTCCTTGTAGGCCAAGAAACGTGTTAGTAATTGAAACTGTGTTTGAATTTTGCAGATATGTTTAGGTTTCCCAATTCTTGAATTTTACAGGAAAAAGACAAATCATTTAATCAATCAATTATAAAGCATTTATTAAACAAGTACCGGACAGTTCAGTGGAGCAGTGGATAGAGCTCCAGGCCTCAAGTCAGGAGGACTTGAGTTCAAATCTGGCCTCAGACACTGACTAGCTGTGTGACCCTGGGCAAGTTGCTTAATGCTGTTTGCCTCAGTTTCCTTATCTGTAAATTGAGCTGGAGAAGGAAATGGCAAATCATTCTAGTATCTTTGCCAAGGAAACCCCAAAAGGGGTCACAAAGGGTCCAACAGCACTAATCTACTGAACTACAACACAAGAAACACCTACTGTGTGTCAGGCACTATCCTGAGCACTGGGATACAGATGCTAAAATGAAATTATCCCTGCCCTCAAGAAGATTACAGTCTTCAGAGGGAACAACAGGTACACACATAAGTAAATGCAAAGTATATGCAATCATCAAACACTTTCATCAAAAACAGAAATCAAGGCATTGTCGTACAGTACGTGTCTGAGGCATGATTTGTCCCCAGGTCCCTCTGGCTTCGGCACTGGCTCTCTGGCCCTACCGATGTTGCCACTTGGCAAATCAACAAATATTTTGTAAAGGTCTCCTATATCCTAGGTGCCTGGGATACATTTTTTTTAATGATACAGTTCCTGTCCTTATGGAGCTTACCCTCTATTGGAGGATGTATATGGTGGGAAGGGGAACAGTAGTATAAGTACATAGGTAAGCATAATACAAGGTAAGGTTTTTTGGAGGGCAAGGAGAAGTACAGACAAAGGGCTGTACGATCTTTTGAGGAGAGAGAGAAAGAGACAGAAAGAGACAGAAAAAGACAGAGAGAGACAGAGACAGAGAGACTGAGAAACAGAGAGAGAGAGTAATATGCTTTTACCAGGGGGCATCTGGGAAGGCTTCATGTAGGAAGGAGCCCTGGGCTGAGTAGAATTGTGAAAGAAAGAAATGAAGTGGGGTTACATTCTAGGCATGGGTAATGCCCTATGATATATCCAGGCAGGAGGCAGCATATTGAGGTTGGAAAACAGCTAATAGCCTAGCATGACTGGAATGTAGATGCCATCTTGGGAAGTAATGCGGAATAAGGCTAGAAAGGTAGGCTGGAGTCAAATTGTGGTGGGCCTTTGATGCCAGGGTAAGGAAGCACTTTATCTTAGTGATAACAGGAAGACACTGAAGGTTTAAGCAGGGTTGTGACATGGACATAAGGGTTAGAAAGATACTTTGGCAACAATATGGAAGATGCATTGGAAAAGAAAGAGAGGGAGTGGGCAGAGAGACCTAAATTAGGAAGCTATTATAATAGTCATATTAAGTGCCTACTGGTACTATGAACCAGGCACTGTGCTAAGCATTTTACAAATATTATCTCTTTTGATCCTTACAACAACCTTGTGAGGTAGGTACTACTATTATTCCCCCTTTTTTTACAGTTGAGGAAACTGAGGCAGACAGAAGTTAAGTGACTTGCCCAAGGTCACACAACTAGTAAGTGTCTGAGACTGTATTTGAACTCAAATCTTCCTGACTCTAAGCATCCACTGTGTCACCTCTAGGAACATTTGTCTCTAGGCAAATGACTCTAAAACTTCCAGCCTGGGTGACTGAGTGACCGGGAGGATACACCAATAGATGCAGAGGAATTGGGGGTGGGGAATGCTTTTAATTAGTTAGTCAATAAGCTTTTATTAAGCCCTTACTATGTGCTAGGCACTATGGTAAGTACTGAGGATACAAAGAAAGGTAAACACATAGTCCTTGCCCTCAAGGAGTTGACATTCTAATGGAGAGGAGACAGCATGTAAATAATTATGTACATTCAAGATGTATGTGTATATATACGCATATATATATATACATACATATATACATGCAGATAGAGTAAATGGAACATAATCTCAGAAGAAAAACATTAGCAGTGGGAAATAGGGAAAAGAGGCACCCAAGAAAAGTCTTTTTCATGAGGTGTGATCTCATTTTAGACTTGGAAAAAACCAAGTTGGGAGTGAAGAGGGATACCATTGCAAGAATGAGAGACAATGAATGAAAATGCACAGGACCAGAAGATGGCAAGAGGACCAGTGTCTTCAGAGCTTGGAATTTCTGAAGGGGAGTAAGAATATGTGGAAGGGAGTAAAATGTAAAAAGACTGGAAAGGTAGGAAGGAGCCGGGCCGTGAAGGGCTTAAAAGGTAAGCATGATCCTTGAGGCAATAGGGAGCCACTTTAGGAAGATCACTTTGGACTTTGATCCCTTTGAAGCTGAGGGGAGTATAGTCCCGAGTGGAAAGATACTTGAGTCAGGCAGACCCATCAACAAGCTAAGGCAAGGCTGAGGTGATGCGGGCTTGCACTAGGGTAGCGGCAGTGTCAGAGGAGAGACGGGACCATATTCAAGAGGTGTAATAAGGTAAAAAGGACAGGTTTTGGCAATAGATTGGATAGGAGGGATGAGAAAGAATGAGGAGTCAAGAATGACACCTAGCTTACAAGCCTAGGTTATTGGTTTGCAGGATGATGGTACATTTGACAGTAATAGGAAAATGAGAAAGCAAGGATGACCTGAAGGGGAAAGATAATGAGCTCGGTTTTTGACATGTTGAGTTGTAGGTGTCTATAGGCCATCTAGTATAAAATGTCCAACAGACAGTGGGTTATTCAAGGCTGGAGATCAACAGAGAGTTTAGGGCTAGATTAATAGACCAGAAAACTATCTGCATTGAAATGATAAATGAAGTCATGAGAGCTGATGAGATCGCCAGGCAAGATAGCATAGAGGGAGAAAAACAATGACCCAGACCAAAGCCAACTGCACTTGGTGCCTCTGCTTGTCTTCTCAGCCTCTTAATGTCTCTTATGAAATAGAAGAGAGATATCAGACAGTGGCTGGTGGAGATGGGCAGATCAAGTGAGAATTTTTTTTAAAGAATGCTTGTAGGCAGCAGGAAGCAGCCCATAAGACAGGAAAAGATTGAAGATTACCGAGAAAGTGGAAATGATAGAAGGAGCAGTCTGCTGGAGAAGATGGAAGGGAATAGAATCAAAGGTACATTTAGAGGGGTTTGCCTTGGCAAGGAATGGCTATCTCTTTGTGTGAAGAAAGTAGAAGACATCTGAACGACATGAGATGAGGCTAAGGGGAGTATTGGAAGCTTTAAATGGATGGACCCAATTTTTTCAGTGAAGTATGAGGCAAAGTCCTCAGCTGGTAGGATAGTGGAGAAAGATGCCATGGGAGGCTTGAGGAGGGATGAAAAGGTTTGGAATAACTACTGTGGAGAATGGGATTGGGAACTGATTGGGAAGTATAAAGGATTGCCTTGCTCCAGTGATAGCCCAGTTGAGATTATGTAACACAAATTTCTAGTGGTTCCAATCAGTACGGTTTTGTGATTTTTCTCCAGCTTGATTCAACAGTTGGTGAATAGGAGTGAAGGCATTGAATGGAGAGAGTAATTCAAGGTTGAGGCTTGGCAGGGCAAGATCATGAATAGGAGAAGGAGGTAAGGGACCGGAGAGAAGATGAGAGGGTAGAGTGGAACTGATTCACCAAGGAGTTGAGATAAAGAGAGTGTAGCCCATGCAGGGGTAATAGTCTGGGGATTGGAAGTCACTGTGAGGGTGAAGGGGCTTAGAAGCTGGATAGTAAAGAAAAAGTTGAAAATGACAGAAGATAATGTTCAGATAAAAGAATTCCGGAGTTCATGAATGTGGAAGTGGAACACTTCTGGTTGATAAATGGCAAGATCAAAGACATGACCAACTCTGAGTGGAGCTGAGGTGGAGGAGAGAAGTAGGCCATGGAAAATGAGGAGGTTGAGGAACTAGGAACTAGGAAGTTAGGGCGTATGAGTACTAGTATGAATGTTGAAGTCCTCTAGTATGAGATCAGGAGTTGAGGAAGAAAGACCATGAGTCAGGCACTGAATTCATTGAGAAGGAGAAGAGAGCATCCTGGGGGTCACCAGACTAACAGATTAGTCAGAATCACATGAGACTAGCTACCAGGTTACAATGTGCTAAATGGGTATTGTAAGTTTGTCCGGCCAATGGCACGGGTACTTTTATGGTCCAGTAACAATTCACTTCCCCAACCATTTATTAAGTATCTACTGTGTTCAAAGTCTGGTGCTACCCGACATGGGTTCAGGGGATAGATACAAAACTCACACCAAAAAAAAAAAAAAGCTATTAACGAAATTGAAGTCTTAGTAGTTATATGAAGATGTATTCGTCTAAAGAAGTCATATGAGCCCTTTGAACTATAATACCCTTAACCCATGTAAAGTTTTAATGATATCTTAGTAACAGTTCTACAACTTTGTTTTAAAATGCTTAAATCATTTAATTATTTGTTGGAACTGATCAGTCTATCCAGATTCCTCATGCCATATTTTCCTATTACCATAAACTCTAACCAAAGACATACTTTATATTACTGTTGCTGTGTCAATCAGTTATTTCCATCTCTTCATGACCCCGTGGACCACACTCTCCATGGTTTCTTGATGAAGAGTGGTTTGCCCTTTCCATCTTCAGTGGATTAAGGCAAACAGGTTAAATGATTTGCCCAGGGTCACACAGCTAGTAAGTATCTGAAGATTTGAACTCAGGTCTTTCTGACTCCAAGCCCAGCACTCTAGCCACTGTGCCAACTAGCTGCCTTTTTTATATTACCAGTTAATTTTAACTATTAACAAGAAAATGTGGAAAAAAACTTCTGTTACAGTGTTAGGAAAACACCAGGCTTCTCTTTCATCTGCAAATGTAATGCCAAGAGAATTTGAACTAAGATCTGGATTCAAATTCTGGCTCTGTTACTTTAGCAATGGACTATATTTCTGAAGTGTGATGTACGTTAGTAGTAATGTTTTATTATCATTGAAAGACAGTGTGGAATAGTGGAGAAAGTTCTGGGTCTGGTGTCAGATAGATCTGGGGTCAAACCTCCCTTCTGATCACTGTTACCCTGGATGAGTCCCTTCACCTCTCAGCCTCAGTCAGTTTCCTTTCTCAAAAAGAGGAATGATAATACTTGTAGTATCTGCCTCACAGTGTTGTTGTGAGGCACAAAAGAGAACGTATGGAACATTCTTGTAGTCTATGCTTTCTGGTGCTCTGTCAGCATCAGCTGGTATTCTGCGTGAAATTAGTCATGGAAATCCTCAGTTGGAATTCTTGTCTTTCTCTATTAACTTTTAGCAAAGAAAATTGTGACACATAAAGTTTTGCTTGGTATTAGTGATTGTTCTTAGCAACATATGCCCTAGCCCAAGGGTGGGGAACATGGCGTCTCGAGATCACATATGGCCCTCTAGGTCCTCAAGGGTGGCCCTTTGACTGAATCCATTTCCTTCGGAGGAAATGGTCAAAGGGCCACCCTTGAGGACCTAGAGGGCCACATGTGGCCTTGAGGCCAGGGGTTCCCCACCCCTCCCTTAGCCTATTTGGTTTGGGGTTTGAAAACACGTATGGACATGAACACCTGAGGCACAAAAATGCTTCTAGTTGGGGATTTGGGTATCTACAGGAACCAAGAACAGAGATCTGTTTCCTAGGAAGGATAATTATACAAGTAATGACAGCAATGCAATATGAAGGTGCTGCCTCTTTAATGAGCTGTGACTGTTGAAAAGATGTTCCGAAGAAAAGATAAGTATTTGTCCTCTGTTTGTGGAGTTAGGACAGTTACCATGATTAGGTTTAGAGATTGTTCCTATAGTACAGAAAGATAGTTGCCTAGCTGTGTGAAGAATTTCAAAACTGACCTTTTGACATCAATGAAGTAGTTTAGATGAAATATTAAAAGAAGCAGAGAAAAACTCCCCGTTGGTTGGAGGGGATCCTCCCGGAAAGATTTACAGAATGATGTGGACTAGAGTAGCATAGAATGAGAGCAGTGGGTGGACAGGCTGCCACCTGTGTCAGGGAACGGAGTGTTTTTATAGAGCCACTCACCTATGGAAATGCTTCAGGGAGTACCAGAGTAAATTATGGTGTTTTTTTTTCCAACTTGAAGACTACTCATTTGTATTCAGAGTTCATTAGGCACTAACTGCTGCTATTTGGTCTATGACCAATTGTTGTTAAAATGTGTCATCTTATGTATTTCTATATTGTGTGAGTAGTTACAGAAACATGTAGGAACATAGACTTGAAAAACTTTAAATGTGGGTTTGGTTCAACCCACCGATTTTAAAGAACTGAAAAAATATATAAAGCATATAAATATCTCACAATATGTCTTTTAAAAATAGCCATACCAAAATGAATGAATGAATGAATGAACGAGCGAATGAATGAATGAAAATAACCATATCCAGCATGGCAAAGGTTGGACACATGGGCAGCAGTGCAGGTATAAAAATGTTTGAAGGGCTGCCATATGAAAGAGGGATTGAACTTGGCTTGCTTGATCCCAGAGGGCAGAAGAAGGAGAAATGGGTGAAAGTCAAACAGATTTAGGCTAAATGTAAGGAAAAACTAGAAATGGTTAAAGCCATCCTAAAGTGGAAAGGTCTATTTCAGGGGGGAGTCAACATCCCTCCCCCCAACGCTCACTGAAGGCCTGCAGGTGAACATTGGATGACTCTTTGTCTGGTCCATCATAGATGGGATTCTTGGTGAGCTTGGACTAGAGTATTTCTGGAGTCTCTTCCAATTCTGACATTCTATGACACATTTTTATTTATTAAAACAACAACAACAACAACAACAACAACAACAACACACGTCTACTTGACCGATCTACTTAAAAATCTTTCAAATGAAAAACAAAGTTAGTAGTGACTACGAGGCAGCTCTATATCCATTAAGCTTTCTGACTCAGATCAACTGCTGACTCTTCCAGGAAACTTTTAATAATTATCCCTCCAATCTGCCTAAGGGAAGGGAAGCTCCTACACAAGTAGGGACTTTTTGGGGGGGTCTTTTTTGTCCTAGCACATAGTAGGTACTCAATGAAAGCTTGTTGATTGATTATTAGTGGCCATTTCCTCTAGAAATTACTTTCTGTTTTCCTATCTGGGTCAATGCTATAGTCCTCTTCCCTCCCCTCAGCATCCCCTTCCCACAGTATCTATCCTTCCTGCCCTCAACCACTTCCCTAGCCAGGGGAACATATGTTTCTTGAGCTAGGTGCTGGTGGTGCAAAGATGAAGCCCGGACCCTGTTCTCCAGACACTTACTCCCCCACTAATAGTTGGACTCCATTTTGTTTTCCCTTCTATGGACCAAGGTCACAGTTTTCCATCAGTCATTTTCTATTTTCCTACAGAATCATCACTTGCTTTTTCATTCTGTCATTTATCCTTCCCATCACCTGTTTCTATAATCAGTACAGTTATCCCTTCGGTGGCCCTGTAATTCTGGAAAATTCACTAAAAATGTCTTGACCCTTTGTACCAGAGAAGAAGAAATTGTGTATATTTATGGTATTAAAAGATAAAATATGTTGGTTGATATTATACAATACTATACACACACACACACACACACACACACACATTTTATGCATTTCTGAGTTTCTAAACTTTTTCTGTCATCTGTTGGCCTTTGTGTGTGGTCTGTGGCTTCCATAAAATTTCTCCCAAATTCCCATTTAATTTCTTACACTGACCTGACATATATTGAAACTGTGATAAGGAAAGTCAGATGTGGAAGGGATAACTGTATTTGTGAGTGACTTTAAACACCTCCCAGCCTTCCAATGAGTGCTGAAGTCACCCTCTGAAGGGCTGATATGGCACACAACACAAGGGCTTTTCCCAGAACGCATTTTCAAATGCCAACAGTTGCTAATGCTTTGCTTGTTATATAGTCTTCACCATTCATTTGTATTTAGTCTGGATGGCAAATCCCAGTTGTTAATTAGATGGTAATGGTATATAGTTGGATACTCTGGTTAAGAGAGGAGTGGTCCACATGAGAGGCTATTCATTCCCGTTTCTCTTCAAGCCACCGTACCAGACTAAGTCCAGTAGAGTAGACTCTTTTTGTTGATATGGCAGTGGTAACAGTAGGGTTCACCACAGTGGTAGGGGTATCTAAGACTATTATGTATTAGTCTAAATGGAAAACTTATTCTACCTTTTTTTCCCCCTGTAATTAACTACTCTTTATGAAAGAGATTTTAAAGCTACAGTATACCGTTTTGTTTTTTGTTTTTTTTGCTGTTGTTGTTGTTTCTTTCTTTCTTTTTTTTTTTTTTTAGGCAATTGGGGTTAAGTGACTTGCCCAGGGTCACACAGCTAGTAAGTGTCAAGTGTTTGGTCTGAGACAGGATTTGAACTCAGGTCCTCCTGACTTCAGGGCCAGTGCTCTATCTACTATGCCACCTAGCTGCCCCCTCCAAATGGAAAACTGAGGGAGAAAAGGAAGTTATCTCTATTACTTCCAGCAAATACTAAGGTGGTATAGCTAAATAGCCAGAAGCGTACTTCCAATTTTAGTCTCTCTGGGTCAAAATTAGAAATCAGAAGTAAATTCTTTGTATGTTTGAGGATACTAATATGAAATTTTACAATCTAAATTCGTGTTATGAATTTGACTTCTCATACTAATACTAACAGTTCAAAACATGGAGTTTCCATTTCTTGTTTAGTTAGAGTTCAACTTTTGCTTTGAGGGAACTACCTATTCAGATCAGTCAGTCAGCAAGTATTTATTCAGCACTTTCCATGTGCCAGGCACTGTTCTAGTGCTGGGGATACCAAGAAAGGCAAAGACAGTGCCTTCTCTCAAAGAGCTCACAGTCTAATGGAGGAGACGATGTGCAAATAGCTATGTACAAACAGGTGCAGCTAGGTGGTGCAGTGAATAGAGTGCTGGGTCTAAAGTTTTTGTGAGTTCAAATCTGGCCCCAGACACTTATTAGATGTGTGACCCTGGGCAAGTCACTTAACCCTGTTTGCCTCAGTTTCCTCATCTGTAAAATGAGCTGGAGAAGGAAATAGCAAACTATTCCAGTATCTCTGTCACAAAAACCCCAAGTGGGGTCATGAAGAGTTGGACGTGACTGAAATGACTAAACAACAACATGTACAAACAAACATTTAGGAAGGACTGGAAAAGGCTTGCTGCAGAAGGTGGGATTTTAACTTCAGCTTGAAGGAAGCCAAAGAAGCCAAGAGACAGAGATGAGGAGGGTCAGGACATGGAGTGCCAGCAGACATTTATTAAGCACCAAATATGTGTCAGGCACTGTACTAGACTATTCAAGTATAAGGGTTAAAATAAAGCAACATCTGTGCTCAAGGAAATTATATTCTGCTCCCAGGAAACAACACACATACAAAGATACACAAAATATACGCCAATAAGCACAAGGTCACTGGGGGCAAGGAGTCACAATCAGCTGAGGTATCTGAAAAACCTTTGTGGAGAGACAGAAGCACTTTAGATGACTTGAAAGGAAATTAGAGATTCTAGGAGAAGAGATGGAGAAGTTGGGTATTCCACACATGGCAGACAGCCAGTGAAAAAACAGAGAGATTGGAAACTGTTGTGTGGAAGGAATGACAAGGCTAGGTTAGCTGGACTGCAGAGAATGCAGAGGAGATAATGTACAGCAAAGCTGGAAAGTTAAATTTGAGTCAGGCTTTACATTTCTTATTTATAGAAGAGTTTTTACTTAATCCTGAGAGTCACTGGAGCATTTTTGAGTCAATGAGCGACATGGTTAGACCAGAGGTTTAGGAAAAACACTTCAGCAGCTGTGTGGATGACAGATTGGAGGAGGGACAAATCTGACTTTGGGAAACCAAAGAAGCAGCTCTGGTAATTGACAGTCAATAATAAATATTTATTGAGCACATATTATGTGTCTTCAGGCATTGTGCTAAGCACTGGGGATACAAAGAAAGGTCAAAGACAGTCCCTGCTCTCAAAGAGCCCCCGCTCTAAATGGGGAAACAATATGCAAACAATTATGTACAAACAAGCAATACACAGAATAAATTGGAGGCAATCAATGGAAGAAAGGCACTAGAATGATGGGAGATCAGGAAAGGCTTTCTGTAGAAGGTAGGAGTTTTAGCTGGGACTTGACCACTGTAGGAGCAACTGTAAGCGGACCAGTGTGGCTGGATCATAGAGTGTGTCGAGGGGAGTAATGTGTGAGAAATCAGGAAAGGTAGGAAGGCACCAGGTTATCAAGAACTTTAAATGCTTCTATTTAAATGTTTACATTTGATCTTGGATGTAATAGGGAGCCAATGAAGTGATTAATCGCATGTACTGTTAACTCACGTGCATTGCATTTTCTCTAGAATACTACTTGAATAAACTTTCCTTCTCTTCTTTCTCAGAATTGTACAATGCCACACTACAAACTCATTTATTTTAACATGAGAGGGAGAGCAGAAATTATTCGATACCTTTTTGCCTACTTAGACATACAGTATGAGGACCATCGGATAAGTCAAGATGACTGGCCGGCAGTCAAACAAAGTAAGTGGAATAAGTAAAACACTGATGCTTCTTGACCAATGCTTTGATCAATAGGGATGAGAACCGTAGTGGTTTCTTCCTATTTCTCAACACGGCAATACTGTAAGCATGTAAAAAAAGGTGATTTCCTACTTTGGGGTAATGGCAAGAGCTGATTATTCATTCAATTTATCAGCACCCACAATCTCATTTTTGAGGCTATTTTTGACCACTGTATTAGATTACCACATACATGCTTAAGATTGTGGCAGGAAAGAGGTGCCCATAAGTACAACAGAAAGCGTCCCTCAAATCCTGAAGAATGCCCAAATGAATATCATAAAGGCCAGATAGTTTGCATATACTTCATTTGAAAACTATTTTTAAAGAAGTTTCTCCTTATTCTGACATTTTGTTTTTCAGCTGAAGCTGATATTTAATCTTACCTAGGCTGTGTCTTTTCATTTTTAGGTCCATACATAATATTTCCCTAGAGAAAAGGAGACTGTACCCATGTGCCCACTTGTAGTCTTTCAAAGTTGTCTAGAGCACTGAGAAGTTAAGTGAGCCCAGGGTAAGCCAGTGTATGTCAGAAGAAGCACTTGAACCCAGGTCGTCTCAACTCTGAGGCCAGCTCTCTATATCATGCCACACTCAGTGCTTCGCTTGTCTTTTCATGGTTATAAAATCCTTATTTTACAGTTGAAGAAATGAAAGCTATACAGGCGAAGTGAGCAACTCAAGTATACAGGCTGAAATTCAGCAAAACTTCCTATTGAGTGCTTGGGATTCAGAGTTGTAATGGAATTTAGTGATCATTTAACTGAATTCTTTCCTTTTTTTTTTTCCTTTTCTGCAAGGCAATGAGGTTAAGTGACTTGCCCAGGGTCACACAACTAGTAATTGTCAAGTGTCTGGTCTGAGACTGGATTTGAACTCAGGTCCTCCTGACTCCAGGACCAGTGCTCTATCTACTGTGCCACCCAACAGCCCCGTACTCTTTCCTTTTTTTAGATGAGGATACAAGGCTCAGAGAAGTTAGAGACAGAAGAGAGAAAGCAGAGAGGAGAGGACTCAGATCCAGGTCCCCGTTCCTCTCATATCATGTCTCTTTCTTTTAGGTGGTAAGTTTGTGAGCTAAGTGTTGGTGTTGGCATTTAGTCATTAGGATTTTTTTTCAGTTAATATAAATCAAAGAACTAAGAGTCCATTTTAATTTCTCAGAATGCCATAATTCATATTCCAACTGCAAGACCATTATTTCATTTTAATATCTACAAGGATGCTATTTCCGCAAAATCTCTACAAATATGGAAATTGCCAGTTAAGAGTTGGAACGGACCCCAGTGGCCAACTAGTGCAAACTCTATCTGAAAGGACCCCCACAGTAACACACCAAACAAGTGGCCATCTGGACTCTGCTTGAAGACCAAAAGAAGGAGCAACCTCTCTAGGCATCCCCCTTCCCCATCACTCCCAGTTCTGCCCTTTGGGACCAAATAGAACAAGTCTAATCCCTATTATACACAACAGCCCTTCACATACTTACACCCAGCTATCCTGTCCCCCCTGAATTTCTTCTTCCTTTCTTCTCCTCCTCCTCTTCTTTTTTCCTCCTCCTCCTCCTCCTTTTCTTCTTTCTCCTCCTCCTCCTCCTTCTTCTCTTCTTCTTTTCTCCTTCTCCTTCTCCTCCT